CTGTATGGCCTCCCATTGCTGCTGCCTCCACCGCCACACTGTGGCTCCACACTCTGGTTTTGGCCCCGTGACTGCCCAAATGAGTGAAGTGTGCGGTGATTCTAAGATCGACGGCACTCATCTGCATGTCATACTGACTGACAGTATTATTTCTCTTCCCCAGCAGACTCCAAGGGCATTTAAATTAAAGGTACAGTGTTCTGCACTAATATAAAGGCTCTCTGAAGCCTAGAAACACCCTTTTTATAAGTTAAATTCGCAGCGAATATATTCGACTCGAATCAAATTTATTCCGCGAATTCGCCAAATCAGCCGAATCGAATTTTTTAATAATTCGCTCATCTCTAGTGGTATGCTTAGGATCATGAGCAGTTTCTTTCCTTCTCCATACTCTTCTCTTCCCATCACTCTGGTACAAGTTGATCTTGGTCTCAACTGTCCATAGGATGTTGTTCCAGAACTGTGAAGGCTTTTTTAGATGTCGTTTGGCAAACTCTAATCTGGCCTTCCTGTTTTTGAGGCTCACCAATGGTTTACATCTTGTGGTGAACCCTCTGTATTCACTCTGGTGAAGTCTTCTCTTGGTTGTTGACTTTGACACACATACACCTACCTCCTGGAGAGTGTTCTTGATCCGGCCAACTGTTGTGAAGGGTGTTTTGTTCACCAGGGAAATAATTCTTCGGTCATCCACCACAGTTGTTTTCCGTGGTCTTCCAGGTCTTTTGGTGTGGCTGAGCTCACCGGTGCGTTCCTTCTTTTTAAGAATGTTCCAAACAGTTGTTTTGGCCACGCCTAATGTTTTTGCTATCTCTCTGATGGGTTTGTTTTGTTTTTTCAGCCTAATGATGGCTTGCTTTACTGATAGTGACAGCTCTTTGGATCTCATCTTGAGAGTTGATAGCAACAGATTCCAAATGCAAATAGCACACTTGAAATGAACTCTGGACCTTTTATCTGCTCATTGTAATTGGGATAATGAGAGAATAACACACACCTGGCCATGGAACAGCTGAGAAGCCAATTGTCCCATTACTTTTGGTCCCTTAACAAGAGGGAGGCACATATGCAAACTGTTGTAATTCCTACACCGTTCGCCTGATTTGGATGTAAATACCCTCAAATTAAATCTGACAGTCTGCAGTTAAAGCACATCTTGTTCATTTAATTTCAAATCCATTGTGGTGGTGTATAGAGCCAACAATGTTAGAATTGTGTCGATGTCCCAATATTTATGGACCTGACTGTACCTAAACTTCTTTCTGTTATCTATATTGCTCTGTGTATATATATATATATATATATATATATATATATATATATATATATATATATATATATATATATATATATTGGTTACATCTTTTTCTGTAAATATTTCTACTGCACCCTTTTGACCTTTTAGTAATAAATATTACTTTCTGAAAGCGTTGAACTGTTTCTATACACCGTGTTCCAAATTATTATGCAAATTATATTTTTCTCATTTACCTAAATAATTGATGTAAATAACAGTAAGCATAATTCTCATGTTATCAACTATTAAGAGTACAATTCAAATTTTATTGAACAAACCTCCTAATGATAACAGTATTTTTTTTTAAACATAAAAAACTTACAATGCACTGTTCCAAATTATTACGCACAGTAAGTTTCAAAACACTTTATAGGTTGTAAAGAACTGAAAATTGTCATTTGTTGTGTTTGCAGCATATTTACTGAAATCAAAAGCTATTTCAATCAAACTTTTAACAACATTTTAACTTTTTAAACATTTTAACAGATCACGTTACATTTTAACATAGGACCCCTTATTTGATAGCAGCTTCACAAGTCTTGCATCCATTGAACTTGTGAGTTTTTGGACAGTTTCTGCTTGAATTTGTTTCCAAGATGTCAGAATAGCCTCCCAGAGCTGCTGTTTGGATGTAAACTGCCTCCCACCCTCATAGATATTTTGCTTGAGGATGCTCCAAAGGTTCTCAATAGGATTGAGGTCAGGGGAGGATGGAGGCCACACCATGACTTTCTCTCCTTTTATCCCCATAACAGCCATTGATGCAGAGGTATTATTTGCAGCATGAGATGGTGCATTGTCATGCATGAAGATGATTTTATTATGGAAAGCATAGTTCTTCCTTCTGTACCAGGGAAGAAAGTGGTCAGTCATAAACTCCACATACTTTGCAAAGGTCATCTTTACACCTTCGGGGCCCCTAAAGGGGGCTTAAGTTTTCGTGAAATATCTAATGTTTTATTACCTCGTCCAAAGCATTGAACTATTTCACTCTTTTTGGCAGCAGAGAGATCCTTTTTCTTCCTCATATTGCTTGACAATGGTGCTCTGCTTAATAATGTGGAACGCCCTCCTTTAGTAGTTTTTCCTTAAACTGGGCTCTCCGGCCAATCTAATTATCACAGGTGTCCGAGATTGTTTTCAGTGATCAAAAGAGCCCTGAGACACAATGCCATCCATGAGTTAAACTGAAAAACAAAATATTTAATCTTTGTGACACTTAAATAGAATTTGCATAATAATTTGGAATACGGTGTAGTTCTTTAATGTGACTTACGAATCCTTGCCGCTGAAGCGTACTACTATGAGTGTTTAACCCTCTGTATAACCGGTCTGTAGAGATAGTGGGATACTGACGGTTAACCAATCATCCTAGTGTATTGCTGAGTTTCCTCTTTCTCTGTACAAAAGGAGGTGGTGGCAGTGTGAAGGGTTAATTGCGTAATTAACCTGACCCAGTAACAATCGCTCAGGCTGCCGGTACATCGAATGTGATCAATTAGCTGGAAAATTGTTGTGCAGGGTGCGGCTGGGTGTTGCATTGTTACGCACCTGACATCGCGGTTTTAGATTGGCTAGTCCTTCGGTCACGAGTTTGGTGAGAAGGGCTGGGGTCTGGCACCACACCCGTCACAGGCAGCACCTGTTCTTGTGGTGATGCGTTAAAGGCATATAATTTACGCATGATTTTATGTTTTGATATACACACACGTCCACTGAGCATACTTTATTATAAGATCTAATTTTATGTTTTTTTATGTTTTGTAGTTATGGATGTGGATTGTTTCAGATATATGGTGATGAGTTAAATGCATTTATTTTACACATAATTCTATATTTGACATATACGCGTATGATACACACATTCCCACTGAACATATTTTGTTATAATATTTAGTTTAAGTATTGTTCTAGATATTTTGTTATGACATAAATGCATACGTTCTACACATGTTCTATGTTTGGACATAAACGCATAGGATACACACATGTCCACCTAATTCACTTTATTATATGATTTTATGTGATATTGCACAGCCCATGAGAATTTATCACTAGGAAGATTTGGCACTGCACTGCCCAATATTTCTACTTTTCACATTGGCTGTGCCAAGTATAGACTGGTAATTACCAGACAAATCTGTATAATGTTAATTATACTGTACCATTGTCTGAAAAAATGAAATGCTAATAAAAGATGAGGCTTTTTAAAGTAATATCTTAGTAAGATAAAGGCAGTATAATAGTAGCTCAAATACATAATTATTACACAAGTCATAAAGATAGTGGCACATGTTCTTGGTGAAGCAAGTACTAACTGTAAATATATTCTAAAGTTGCAGGATTTTTAAAAGGTCTACAATCATAGTACTGCAGACAGTTTAGAATGCTTGTGTTATTGACAGTACTTAAAGCAAACTTCCACTCAAAAGAAGAAGCTCTGCTTATTTACCTCCCCCCCATCTACTGCCATATTTGGCACCTTTTGGGGGGGAGCAGATACCTGTTTTTGACAGGTACCCTCTCCCATTTCCGGTTCACTTTGCAGCTCGGCACTTTCCTCCCTCCCGCAGTCTCCTAGGGAACTTTCACAGGTCCCAGAAGACTGCCGGACAAATTAGGAGGCGCAGCACAAACTCGCACATGCGCAGTGGGCACCGGGCTGTGAAGCTGCAAGCTGTCACAGCCTGGTGCCCACAGTTGAGATGCCGGTGTCGTGCAGGAGAGAAGGGACGGCGTGGGAGAGAACATCGGTGGACCCTGGGACAGGTGAGTGTATGTTTATTAAAAGTCAGCAGCTATAGTTTTTGTAGCTGCTGACTTTTAATAAACACAAAAACGGCTGGAATTTCACTTTTAAAACAGAACTAAATTCTGCTTCAGAGATGTGATCTCCGTTTTGGTACTTCACTCATTCCTCCAGGTTTGCATCTTTTGCCATCTTGCTTCATCCGGACACTGTGGAATCCTGAGAAAGTACAAGGAGCAGTACAATTGCAGTCCTGGCTACATTGATAAAGAAACATTGCTTGCAGGCAGGTAAGATGTTTTTATTGTAGAAGAGATCTACAGATTTTCAATTGCAATAAAAGCCTACCTGCCGAGAATGAAAGGCTAGAGTTCTAATTCTAAAAGTACTGTAGATTGTTTAGAATGCCTATGTTACTAACAAATGTACATTATAGAACTGCAAATTATTTAAAATGCTTATATTATTGACACTTTAAAATAATTAAAGTACCGCAGGCAGTATAGAATGCTTATTTCTACTTTAAAAGTGCTGCTGTTTTTTAATGTTCATCTTAATGACAGCTGTACTTTATAGGTTAGCTTGATCTTCAAGCTGACTTTCTAACTTGCAAGCCTGTTCCATGTCCACTTGCGATTCAAAGTATAGATGCTAATGGGACGGCAAGGGAACTAGCATTCTCACAAGGATCAGGAAGGAATTTTTTCCCCTAGCTGGGTTTTTTTGCCTTCCTCTGGATCAATTTTGTGTATAGGATTATAACTTTTTTTTTTTTTTTTTTTTTATGGTTGAACTGGATGGACTTTTGTCTTTTTTCAGCCAGACTAACTATGTAACAAGGAGGTCTACAGTGGCAGCCTATGTATTTCTCTGATTTTTGTATAGCCAGACCATACTAAAGTCATTGGAGTTGAATCACCGAAGCACATGTATTTATGTGTGAGATTGTACAATTCAATAAAAGTATGTGCAGGGTAAAGAATATAAATAGGAAATAAAGTCAAGAAATGGTTTTGTCATTCTCTGGGAAGTTGACTGGACTGTAAAGATCTGATTCCCAAAACATCCGAGAACTGGTTCCATAATTTTCAAAATGTAGTTTCCACACAAATTTGTAAATGTAAACGGTATATCTGGATAGACCAAACAGAGCAATGCCAATAGAGAAAAAAATAAAAGCATCACAAACAAAGTCCATGTGAATGAAAAGTTAAAAGTACGTGTGGCATGGCACCTGAATTCAAATTTTGGAGTGGGTTGTCTATGTGCATCAATAATGCTGGTTTTATACCACTGATCCTTTAATATCTGCTCAACCCTGGGACATATTTGAACAGCCTGAACAGAAATTAGTTGCTGCTTTTTTAAAGCTTTCATACCTTTTTCTATGGTATGGATATTGTCTAAGTATGCAAAGGGAGATTCTTCATCTTGTGTGGTACTGGTCAAAGATATAAGATCCAGTTCTTCATCTTGTATTTGTCTCATTGACTCTATTTTTGGAGCATAAATGTCAACTATTTTTTGATTAAGATCATTTAGGGCAGTGAGAAGATCTTGTTTCTTCTTCTCAAACATATCAATTGTTTTATCAAAAAAGTTGACCACTTCCTTCTTATCTTCTTGAATAATTGTTTTGCATTCCTCCAGCTGTTCTTCTAGCGCTTTGATGACTGTGGATACACCTGTGAAATTCTTCTCACGGAGAATAGCCAACAGTTTAGAAGCTGTCTTTCGTTCTTTTCTGTAGGCTCTTTCTAGTTCTTCAGTAGAATGGTCCTGATGCTGTCCTACCTCACAACACTGATCACAGATTATCTTTCTATCTTTCAGACAAAACAATTTTAACTGGTTTCCAAAATGCTCTGGACAGGTTCGAACACTGAATCGGTTGTTGATTTTAAATTTTTCGACAATGGATTTGAGGGCAAAATTTATAGGCAGAGTATGAACCCCTATTGAGACATCTGTAATCCCTCTGCAGGTTGGACATTTTAGCGCCCCAATAGAAATTCTCCAAAAATAGCTATCAGAGGACCTGATTATATTTTCCAAACAGTTTTTGCAAAATGTATGTGAGCATTTTAGAAGTCGAGGGTCATCATATATGTTGAAACAAACTGAGCATGTCAGATCTTCTATCAAATGGTCCATTACCTGAAAATTAAAAGACAATAAGAACTTGATAAATCGTAGACAATATGAATTAGCTAGAACAAAATGAGATTAAACACTGAGCTAATGCAAGATTTGACCCCTGTCGATCCTTTCAGTTTTTGTAAATGAGACAATGTCTTTCATCTGGCTACTTTTGATCACATATTACATTGGGACTGGTTTACTAAAGTAAAAGTTCACTTTGTAATGTGTCTGCTAGTAAATACAGTTAGGCTGTCTTCACTTTAAACACCCAACCATGTGCAAAAAAAAAAAAAAAAGATTTGGACTAGCATGTAATAAGGGTAATAAGAGCTTACAGCTTTATCTTTCTTACATTTACTTTACAGAGTGAACAATATACAAAAGGAGTAGAGGTGGTTTATTTAGCAAAGTAAAGTAGTCCTGCATCTTTGCTATCACTTAAGGTAGAACTATAGGTAAAACTTTTTTTAATTTGGATAGAGTAAGGGAAGGTTATAACAATGGTCAGTTTATTTTTAGCTATCTGTGTCCCACTGGGGAAATTTACCTTCACTTCTTGTCCCATAGTCAAAACCTGGAAGTGAGGGAAAATCCCTACAGTTTATAAGGAAATTCCTTGGGGGCCCACAGGTCCTCAGAACTAGTGTCCCCAACAGGGGCGGACTGACAACTCATGGGGCCCCCGGGCAATAGGGGATCATGGGGCCCCTGTGTCCTTGCCCAAACTCAAAAAAGATCTCATGGGGACCCCTACTGACTCCGGGCCCTTGGGCAGTGCCCGAGTTTCCAAATGGTAAGTCCGTCCCTGGTCCCCACTAGAAAATTTCCCCTCTATTACTTTTTTGGGGACAACCCACAATTTGGGGTTTTTGTTTCAATGATAATGGTAAACAGGACAAATATAGAGGGTGAAGCTCTCTAATGGGGGCACAGACAGCAATAAAACCCTAGTCTCATGGACACTCCCCTAGATGTTTAGCTCTCCTGGCAGTAGAAAAATGCTAAACATGGCAAAAACGCATGAAATGTGGTCCCGTGTTTAGAGCTTGGACGCTTATTCATTTGATTGGCCAGAGTATTTTCAATTGACATGATTAAATGCTCAAGTGCTAAATGTAGCTAGCGTTTAGACACATTTTTGCCGCGTTTAGCATTTTTGGGCCAAAATGCTCCTCTCCTTAAAGCGGAGTTCCACTCACGCTGTCAAAAAAAAAGTCAGCAGCAACAAAAACTGTAGCTGCTGACTTTTAAAAAATAGCCACTTACCTGTCCATTGGGTCCCGCGGTGTGTCCCCTGCAGCCTGTTTCACCGGCCATCCTGTATTCCAGGAGGTCGGCATCTTCAGTGTGGGCACCCGACTTTGATAGCTTGGGGCTACACAGCCGGGTACCCACTGCGCATGTGCGAGTAGCGCTGCGCTTCATGAATGGTCCTGTAGTCTTCATGGACCTGTCACGTATCCCAAAAGACTACAGGGAGGGAGGGAGGACACCTTCCGTTTCCGATCACCTAGGCGATTGGACCAGAAGTGGGAGCAGGTACCTGTCTAATTTGGGTACCTGCTCCCCCCCCACCCCCCAAAGGTGCCAATCCTTAATGGGGAGCGGGGGAGCAGTCCTTTAAAGCGGAACTTCCCCTTTTGGGTGGAGCTCCGCTTTAATGCTATTCTTCTGCATTCAGGAGAGGAATGTTTAACTGCCCCTAAACTTTACTGCTCCTAAACTCTGGTAAGAGCCTATGTGTACATGGACACATAGGCTTTTCCTGAGTTGAGTTCAGGGGCTTTGGCAGAAAAAAGCCAAAAGCTCCTAAACTCAAGCTTAGGAGCAGCAGTGTACATGAGGTGTCCTAATCCATCTCCACTCTGTCCAAAAACAAAAAAAGTGTTTCCTTTAGTAATAACAAATACTGGGACATCCAAATAATACTGTCGCTCACTCTCACAGCATCTAAAACATTTTCACATAAATTTTCCACAAAAGAGAAAATCACATGAAACTCACAGCTCCATGGAAGATGCCTCTACTATGAGGCATAGGTCATGCAAACAGAGTCCACTGAACTTATTGGTCAGTGATGTCACAAATGCATAGGGCTAAGCTTACATATAATTTCTATTGTCCACATTTGCTGATCTACTGAACTCAGCTTTGCAACAGGTTTACTGTAATTATGTATTATAGGAAGCGTGCAAGAAAATATGCACACAGCGAAAAAAAATGCTTCATTAAGTATGCAAGGCCAGGGTATTCCCAACCTCCTATTTTTTGGGTGCCAACAAAAATAAAAATAAATGTAACAGTGAGGTAGGTTAAGAACATCTGTTGCAGTTTTATCACTGTGTCCCAAATACTTGGATATTGATTTACTTCCTGTCCAGTTCACGGGTGTCAGACGGTGAAGCAGCATACATTATCAAAGTGAACATATTTATTTACCATTTTGCAAAAAAAATTTAATATTTGTGAAAGTATACATATTACAATTTTGTAAATAAATGTTTTGAATATAATCTACCTCTATTGCCCAAAGTAATCAGTAAAGTTGTAGCTGGTTTAGTGACTTAAAGCGGAGTTCCAGCTGGAAAAAAAAAGTCAGCAGCTACAAAAACTGTAATAATACAGCCACTTACCTGTCCCTTGGTCCAGCTGTGTCCTCACCACTGCTGGTTTCACCGGCCTTCTTCTCTCCCTGGTGCGGCATCTTCAGTGTGGGCACCCGGCTATGACAGCTTGCGGCTTCACAGTCGGGTGCCCACTGTGCATGCGCGAGTAGTGCTGCGCTTTCAAATTCGGGTACCCGCTCCCCAAAGGTGCCAATCCTTAATGAGGAGTGGAGGACAAAGTATTAAAGCAGAACTTCCCCTATTGGGTGGAACTCCACTTTAAAACTGCATTACTATTTATGAGTAAATGATGAAGATTTGACTGGATGTTTGTTGGGATTTCATTTTATTTCACAGTCGCTCACAAGTTAGGTCTTTTGAGACTTCTGGTGCTGAATTTGTAGCAGTCAGGGTCTGATATCTGTGTGTAGTGAGCATGTTCAAGAAGGATGACAGAGAGCTGTTGGAGACAGAAGTGGCCATGTCAGGGCAGGATAGAGGTGTTTTTTTTCCTAGAGATAGTCTGTTGCAGAATAGAAAAGAAAAGGGTTAAAGTGAAAAATTCCTATGGATAACTGTTTGCCAGTTGGAGGGATAATGGGCTAAACATAGGGAGAGCATGAATATGTGAGGGATGTGACCAAAGAGATGAAAAGGAGCTTGGAGAGGCTGCAAGCAGTGCAGAGGTGGTAGCATTCAAGGTCAAGGGTGTTGACATCTGCGTGAGTAGAAGTGTATGTCTGTTACATTATGACAAAAGAGGAAGTTAGACTGAGGAGACTTGAGACGTAGACACAATTAACATAGTTACATAGTTAGTCTGACTGAAGCTAAAATCCTATACCCACAGTTGATCCAGAGGAAGGCAAAAAAACCCAGCAAAGCCTGATCTAATTTGCTCCTGCAGGGGAAAAAAATTCCTTCCTGATCCCCCGAGAGGTAATCAGATATTACCTGGATCAACTTTACCTATAAATGTTAGTATCCAGTTATATTCTGTGTATCTAAGAAACAATCCAGGCCTTTTTTAAAGCAATCCACTGAGCTGCCCAGAACCAACTCTTGAGGGAGTCTATTCCACATTTTTACAGCTCTCACTGTGAAGAAACCTTTCCGTGTTTGGAGATTAAATTTCTTTTCCTCCAGACGTAAAGAGTGCCCCCTTGTCCTCTGTGATGACCGCAGGGTGAATAACTCTACACCGAGTTCACTATATGAACCACTGATGTATTTATACATGTTGATCATATCCCCCCTTAATCTCCTCTACTGAAGAGAAAATAAATTTGTTTCCTCTAATCTTTCCTCATAGCTGAGCTCCTCCATGCCTCTTATCAGTTTGGTTGCCCTTCTCTGTACTTTCTCCAGTTCCCTAATATTCTTTTTTGTGAATTGGTGCCCAAAACTGAACTGCATATTCCAGATGAGGTATTACTAATGATTTGTACAGGGGTAAATAAGATATCTCTCTCGGGAGTCTATACCTCTTTTAATACAAGAGAGGATTTTCCTCGCTTTAGAAACTGCAGCTTGGCATTGCATGCCATTATTAAGCTTGTGATCTACCAGTACTCCCAGATCCTTCTCCACCATTGATTCCCCCCCTAGCATGTATGATGCATGCATATTCTTAGTCCCCAAGTGCATAACCTTACATTTATCAACATTAAACCTCATTTGCCCTTATTAACCACTGCTTCCACTGTTCTCTCAATCGCTAAATTACTTTGCATGCCTGAAATTATCTGCTTTGTTAGATTTTTTTTTTTTAACTACTGTGTATACTTGCTTGTATTAAGTGACCTTAGCCTCATAGTGCCTTAGCTGAGATCAAACACCTTGCCTTATCTTGTGTCCATCCTGCTTGCAATTTGTTAAGGGCAGAACCCCTCCACCAGGTGTCATTTATTAGCTCTTAATTGAACGATTGCCTAAACACGGCACTTTGACTAAGGCAAGTACAAACACATTAGTGCTCCAACTCAAGTAGATTGCATGTGCTCTCCCCTCTCTTACCTCTATTCCGTCAGCCTTCCTTTGTTATTTCTCCTCTCTCCAGCATGCTCTTGCTAACTCTCTTTGTTGCTATAATACCCTCTCTTCTCAAACTCTCTCTTGTTTACCCATCCACCCCACAACCTGTACATATCACCCTCACTTCTGCCCTCTCAATATCATTGCACTTGCAGTCAGGTCCATAAATATTGGGACATCGACACAATTCTAACATTTTTGGCTCTATACATCACCACGATGGATTTGAAATGAAACAAACAAGATGTGCTTTAACTGCAGACTGTCAGCTTTAATTTGAGGGTATTTACATCCAAATCAGGTGAACGGTGAAGGAATTACAACAGTTTGCATATGTGCCTCCCACTTGTTAAGGGACCAAAAGTAATGGGA